GGCAAATTCAGATGATAAATACAACTTTGAAGCTTGTAACGGCATAATTACAAGCGGAGAACGGAGTAACTTAACGTCACAGCAGGCATAACAACAGCCGGTGTTTCTCGTGAGGGTTTCCCCCGGGAAACAAACGCAATACACACAAAAGCAAAATTACACAAACACACACACACGTATACACACACACACACACTCGCGAGCTTCTCCCAGACCAGCAATCCAAACGAAAATATCTTCCCTCCGTAGTATTTTGATCATTTGCTCCGCTAATAATCAATCAGATCGATGGATTCCAGAGAAGAGAAAACTTTGAAGGCCTTTTTCTCAAAATGATGACTCGGTGACAGTCATTATATAATGTGACATATTTCGCTTAATATTTGGAGTACAAAAACAATCCTGATATCATTAGAAAGCTAGGAATATCCTCTTTCCAGCAGTGTATACAACTCAAAATGTGTCTTCGGGTCAATGCGACTGATTTCGATAGAGCAGGTCACATATGTTAAAGGTGGGGTAGGTAATTCACTTCAGAAACACTTTTTGTTATATTCCATGGAATGCTCTTAACATCCTGATAGCAATGAATAAATTAAAAGCTTTGACAATAAATACATTAAAAAAATGTCATCTGAAGCCGTAGTTCTGTAAAAAGCACGACCAATCATCTGAGCCGGCCCGGCTAAAATAACTGGATGGCCTACCTGCCTGTCAGTCTTCCATCTGTGCACAAACTTATCTCGTGCCCTCATTGGTCATGTGCGCGTTCGTGTTTGTTGGAGGAGGGGCTCTGTGAGGAAGTTCTAGCGCACTCGAGCTGGTTTCTCCTACCTACCCTACCTTTAAGGATTTACCTCTCAGGAGGGCAAAGGAAGTAAAAGGGGGATTTTCAAATGGTTGAGGACGAGGGGGTTTGATGGTTTGATGATGAGATGGAGGACCAGCTGTTTCCTCTCATGAATATACAGAGAGACTGTCAGCAGAACTTCTCTATCCTCTGAGGATGAAGCTGCTCTGTTCCTACATTTCAGATCCATTTAACTTTATGTAGACTTTCTTTATTACTTTATTAAATATAACAAAGACAAACTTTGTCCATGAAGCATTGATCAGTTTCTCTGAAGAATTTCGTCCTTGAAGTTACTCGCCTCATCTCCGCCGAGGGAACCTTCTTCGGAGGCTCGATGCGTATCTTGGGGTCCCATTCCCCCGGAGGAAGCACGATCACCTCGTCCAGAAACTCGTCCACTCCGGCTATCAGGTCCTCTCGGTCCCTGGCTTTGTACGCCACATCGCTGAACAGCTGACAGGGGAAGAAGTTATCAAATGTAACGTGCGTGAGTGTTGTTTATCGGATAAAGACAGGGCTAGTTACTCACATCGTCCGTCATTAGCGTAGCGATCGCTCGGCCTATCTCGTTGTAAGCCTTGGTTTTGCCGTGAGGGCCCAGCAGGATGAAGAGGAACCTGTGAGAAGAGAAGATTGAGAGGTGATTAAATGCAATAACACACACTCTTAGGAGAGATTTGAACAAAGGACACACACCTGGTGGGCACAGGGACCTCCGTGAGGCCTCCCAGAGTCGTAGCCTGAGCCAGACGGACGAAGGACACGAAGGGTTTGTCCAGAAAGTCCACCTCACCCACCAGGACATTTGAAGCTTCGGCATCACGAGGAATCTTCTTCATGAACTTGTTCTTCAGCTGGAGGAAGGAGGGAGGAAGGAGGGAGGAAGGAGGGATGGAGGAAGAGGGAGGAAGAGGTGGTGGCGGATCATGAGGCATTAAGGTGGTCCAAAAGAGACAGAAAATTACATATTTGGGATTTAAGACAAGAGATAGTTCCTTTTTTGTTGCTCCGTACAAACATTTAGCAATACTGCAAAGACGTTGCACAGAACCTATAACCTATGCAACCTTTTCTCGCATAACTCAGAGTTAAAAAAGACAACAGCAGGTGAACAAACACTACAAAACACACACAGGGATGTTCAGAATTTGAACCTCACATCGATTACGACACACCCACTTGCTGATTTTCATACTAAGTTTGTTAGAAAAACTAACTTTTTACAGTAATTATTGACGTTACAGTTTCATTTTCAGCCTCAGAGAGATGGTTTCCTCTCCACTTGTTTTCCACGAGGCGTAAACACACATGTGGAGCATAACAGCCCCCCCCCCCCTCACGTGGCAGTGGAGTGGTGGGCGCTTAAATGAAAATCTCCTCATAATCTGTTAATGCTGCTTTCAGAGTCAATTCAACCTCTCTCTCTCTCTCTCTCTCTCTCTCTCTCTCTCTCTCTCTC